TCCCCTGCGCATCCCGCTGCGGCCGGGACCCGCTTACCGAAAGCTGCCGCGGCCCCGTGGAAATCCCGCCCTGTGGCTTATCGCCTCCTTTCCTTTCTTGTTTACCTTCTGAAACTAGGAGAATTAATTGTTGTTGTCTGGTTTATATTTTTTTTAATGCATTTTTGTCCTTATTCTCTGCCCCCTTTCCTCCTGCGCGGTCGCTAAGCGGGTTTGTTTTGGTTTGGTACAGGGGTGACCAAAGTCACTCCCCCCGTACGGGAGCAGCGTGGCCTTACGCTCCCTTCGGAGGTCGCATTTCCAACCTTCTGAAACTAGGAGAATTAATTGTTGTTGTCTGGTTTATATTTTTTTTAATGCATTTTTGTCCTTATTCTCTGCCCCCTTTCCTCCTGCGCGGTCGCTAAGCGGGTTTGTTTTGGTTTGGTACAGGGGTGACCAAAGTCACTCCCCCCGTACGGGAGCAGCGTGGCCTTACGCTCCCTTCGGAGGTCGCATTTCCAATACCTTAAAGAAATGTGTCTATTTATTTATTTTCTTAATGAACTCTGAAGATTGTTAGAGTAGTGACTATTATAAACTATTTTTTGATAGAAATGGCTTTACAGAAGTGAAAGCAAAGAGGGAATTGGGGTGTTGTACTTGCACGGCAGGAAGTGTTTTACATGAAAATGTGCCTGTCTCTGTGCTGCATCTTGGATGTGTTTGTAAGAGAGGAGAAAAGAAAAAAAGTGAAAGGGGGTTCTTCCATAAAAGACAATGGAATGTCCTGATAACGTTTGCTTATCTGGATGTAATAAAGCTTGTGTAGGGCTATTGATAGCAATGGAGTGATTGTAAATTACCCCTGTTTTAAAATATGACTTTAAAGATGAGCTGAAATGCTGCAGGTAAGTTATTAATCCAGAAAAGTTCTTACTTGCAAAGACTGACTGATTCGGTTCCATAAATGGTATTGCTGTGGCTACACAAATGAGCAAAATTAAAATGGGCCAAGCTGTTCAGGTGCTGAAAATCTACAGGTGTGCAGAATGAGGCTGAAAGTGGTGTTAGGCTGTTCCGGCCATAGCACGTGTGTCCCAGGTGAATTGAGTAACTTTCTCCTGCTTTAAGGTGCTTTTTTATACCCCCTGGGAGTAGCTGCTGTGATGTGACTTGCTTCAGGTTAGGGGGTTTGTGCCTGTAGGCAAAGGGGGAGTTACAAATGTGTCCCCATGCACTGGTGGTTTTATTTTATATTCACTAACAGCTCAGATTTGGATTTGGCAAGGTAAATCTTGTGCCTATTTAGGCATCAGAATTATTAAATCTTAATAAAACATGTGTCTTCATACAGTCAGTGTATGCAATAATTGGTTAAAAGGGTGGCTTTAATAAAATCCTAGCTTTTAATGCTGTAGTAGGTTGTGATCTTTCCAGAACTCATTGTAGAGAACTTTGATCCAAGAGAACAAAAAACCTAGCCCTGAAATAAGCTTATGCTGAAAGACCAGACTAGAGGATTATTTTTATTTTGTCTAAACATGTTTGAAAAGTCTTTGAAGTAGAGAGGGGGGGGTGGGGGGAAGTAGGAGAGCTCATTGAGGTGTGAAGAAGTTTGTAACCATCCTGGCAAGGGGGCAGGAATGAAGATGACTTTGTATTTTGTTTATTCTACTGAATACTTTTCAGGTGCTTTTTGCAAAATGTTGCTGATGCTCAACTTGATGCCAGAAATCATATTTTAGGGAGAGGGGAATGGACCTATTGTAACAGTACCTTCCAGAAACCAAATCCCTTGATCTGTTCAGACCTGTGCATTTCAACAGTCTCATCTGAGATAAGATCAGGAATTATGTATTCTTAAAGATTGAGGAGCGCTTTGTTACTTCGAATGAAAATGTAAACTTGCTGTGTATTTTCTGACAGCGAAGATGTTAAAAATGTGACTTGTAAGACCTGGAAATCGTTTACATCCATTTTTCTTTAGTAAATTTTTGTTACTGTAATTATAACTAAAGCTAATTAAATGTATAATCCTTATTCAAAGCTGATAAACATTGGAGGCATGTCATCTTGCCCTGCTGTTCCATCTTCTGATAGTTTCTTAGTGCCCCAAAGTTTAAAAAGATGAGTTAAGCAAGACAGAGCACCTATTTTTTCTTAAGAAAATGTGCTTAACTACTCCACAAGAGCTTTCTTCACCTACACACACACACACACACACACACACACACACACACACACATACACATATATATATAAAACTAATAATTTAAGAGGATGTTACTGCAATAGATTAGTGTGCAGTAGACAAAAGATAGTGAGAGGCTAATAGTGTGGAAGCAATTCTGCTGTTTCTCTTTAGAAAACAGTATTTTAGTTTTTTTTACGTGTAACATTTAGACCAATTAAGATGTTCGATTTCAGCATTTTTAAGCTAAATTCTGATTTATTCCTTATTCCCCAGCCCTCCTAGGCAAGGACTTAGGATGGGCAGGAGCAGCCGCGTGTTCCTGGCTTGGTGACGACCCAGGCACCTTGTCTACTGTGCACTGAGCTGTTTGAGCAAGTGGTTGCAGGAAGATGGGTCAGCGAACAGGTTCTGGGGACTCGATTTAACTCCCAGCTCTACCAAAGACTCTGTTGTTGTATCAGAATGACTTTCTGCTTGTTGCTCAGTTCCCCATCTGCAAATGCAGCTTTTGTTCACTGCTTTGGAGGCTTTGCAGGCTGAATGTTCTCAGTAATGCTTCCATATTTTGAAAAGGAGAACAAATAATAGATAATAGCAAGACAAAATACTTTTTTCCATAGCTTTAATGTCTAGAATATTACAAACAACAAGTGATCAACCTGATGGGGAAATTCACCTGAGTTAGGATGGCATGACTGGGTGCCCAGGGCCTGCTGTCCAGTGTTGGAATGCATTGCCATGACTGATGGGTGCGCAGTCTCATAAGTCTTCTTGCAAATTATGTATTTAACTATTCTTACTTCTATATCTTGGGCTGTGCCTCTCTAAAACAGAACTGCACTGCCTGATCGTTGCCTTCTGACTGTATTTTTAGGGCTGAAAATGAGCGAGGGGGGCTGGTGCCTTTGAGCTCCTGAGTTTTGAGCTTGCTCGATGCCGCTGCTAAACTTGTGTTGCCAGAAGCTTCAGCCCTGGCAAAGTCTCTTTTAAAGCAGGGAAGCCTGCGCCCTCCCCTCTCCTCCTAAACCAGATTATGGTGCCAGACTGGTGGTAATCTGCACACAGGGCAGCGTCGCAGCGGGGTTTCGAACACGAGGGCAGTCACTGCGCGCCGAGGCCCGTGCGGCTCGGCGGGGACCCGGTCTCCTGGCCCGTTATCAAGGGCTGTACAGCTGTGTGACATGTAACTGCCCACCTGGCAACCTGAGCATCTTGTGGGCATCCAGACACCGATGAAGCCTGGCCCCTGGTGTGTGCAAGAATGTGGTTTGGAATAGGAAATGGAAGATGCACCTGTAAATGCTCACTATTCAGACTGAAAGAAATTCAAACTGGCTTAAAGCTTCAGTATCCTGCATGTTTCGTGAGCAGTTAATAAATTGTCTTAGTATATTGTGAAGTGGCACTTTATATTTAAAATGGATATTTATCTTCCAACATCTACAGTGATGGTGTTATGCAATGAGTTTATCAGATTTGGGGCTATTATTCTAATGTATTTCTTATGTTGCTGCAGTTTATTTTTCCCTTTTTTTTTTTCTTTACCCTCTATGCAGAGGGTGCCCCTTGGTTGATTATCTCCAAGGACTTGCTTTTAATAAGAATAACAGCAATAGAAAGTCCTACCAGTTAGGTTGCATGTTTAACAAACATCTCATGCCTTTTTAAAGGCAGTAATACAAAGCTGGTATCGTTGAGTCTGGTCCTCTGTCGCTGAAGGCAAATGTGAAGCATCATAAACTTTTTAAATTAAACTTGTGTGTTAAAATTTAATGTTCAAAAATGAAACTAATTAGCATAGAATCTAAATGGGACTCAGAGAATGCCTGTTTTGGATTGCTTATTGAATTGAGCTTTTCCCTGACAGCAGCATATTGACTTGCTGAAGCTTCCCTGAGATGTTAGTGTGTGGAGGGAGATACAGTAGGCAGCGGTGGAATTAAATTATAATACCTCTAATTCCCTAGGGGCAATGGCTGCTTCAGCTACGTTAAAATCAAGTGTGATGCTTCTTCCTGGTTGGAAAGTATTGTATTTAAAAAGTTGAATTCAATATGTCTCTGGAACTGTAGTTATATGGTACCTGCTTTCTTTATACTTTTTGCTTGTGTTGAAAAGGAACATACAAGGGAAAACATATATTTTAACATGACTAAAACTGTGTAAAGTTTGCTGACACAGCACCAGATGTTGCATAACTCATGGTCCTGGCAGCTAGTGTGTCATTAGTCAAAAGAGCAGCAGCTTCCTTGCACTTTTGCTTTACTCTGAGGACTTGTAAGATGTAATAACTAGTTTTGATGATTTTGCAGTTTTCTTGGATAATTTATTGTGAGGCCTTCTAATGGAAATCATAGCTAAATATGAGAAAATTACATAGTAATTGAAAAAATATTACATAGGAATTGTCATACTTGATGTATTGTGCAGGTATGTTTTAGACACCTGTGGGAGGCTTGAAAAATGCTCTGCTGAGAAACAGCTTCTGTTATTTCCTGCTAGGCTTATGTGAGAATAGACTTCTTGTTAACCTGCTCTTTGTCCCTGTGGCCTGGAGGTGTGTTCCTGATACCCTGCGGGGGGACAAGAGGTGGTTTGGTAGATAAAGAACAGCAAAAGTAGATGAGGGAAGTCCTATGCAATAAAGATTGTGTTTTAAGGTCAATTCCTATGGTAAAATAAGGGTAATGAAAAAGCAATATTTGATACTGCTAGAACTGTTTGAATGGATTTTTTGTGTTATGTAAGACCGTAGGGAGAAGCGTATTCTGCAGAAAAGCAATTGCCTGCGTTACTAACTTCTTTCTACTCATCACTCGGGGTTTAAATATTCCAGTAAAAAGGAGTGAATGCAATAATCGTTGATTGCCTAAGTTATGTATTCCAGCTCTTACACAGGTTTTTGTTTTGCAGGGTGGGAGTTACTGACCTCAGCTCTATGATTTGCAGAGTACACTTTGATTTTGTAACTTCAACACTGGCTGTGCGTTTCAGGTTAATGGGCCTGATGGCATTCTGCAGAATGGAGCTGTGGATGATAACGTGGCTAAAACCAGCCAGCTTCTGGCAGAGCTGAACTTTGAGGAAGATGAGGAAGATACCTATTACACAAAGGACCTTCCTGTGCATGCCTGCAGGTAGGACCCAGGGCTTGCCCAGCCTCGTGTTTCCAGAGGGCAAGAGCACAGGTCTCTGAACTTCAATAGCAAGCTTGCATGAGTGAAAAATTAGAGGATTTCTGGGATTTGAGAATAACATCTGTGTACTGGCAGGAACATAGTGCCCTCTGGTGAGCTGTTCCTTGAACTTTGAGTTCCTTGCACTTCTACTTCCAATAGAGCTTTGACCTTTATAGAGGAATATAAGGCAAAGCCAGCTCAGGACGGTGATGGTGGGAAATGTTAAAGTATTTATAACTCAAAACCAAAGTTTAATTGCTGCTTTTGCCACCACTCAGGTGCTTTAATTTTTAATTTCTCCTTGTTTTTGTACAATACTGGATACCTGAAATTTTGTATTTGAATTTTCCTAGAAGCAGTCATCTAATCACTTCCTGTTTTCTTTTTTCTTTATTTCTCAATCCTAGCTACTGTGGGATCCATGACCCAGCTTGTGTGGTTTACTGCAACACCAGCAAAAAATGGTTCTGTAATGGACGTGGAAATACTTCGGGCAGGTAAAGATCAGTGATGGAAATGACAGTGACAAAATCTTGCTCTAGAACGTGTTCATTTCAAAGCAGCTCTCTAGGTTCTGCTTTTCTCTTTAATGTTAACTGCTATATTCTCTTAAATTGGGGCTAACTCTGACTTGAGCATTAACTTCATAAAAATGTGTATCCTCTCTGCTTTCAGCCACATCGTTAACCATCTCGTGAGAGCGAAGTGCAAGGAGGTGACTCTCCATAAGGATGGGCCTCTGGGAGAGACTGTCCTGGAGTGTTACAACTGCGGATGTCGTAACGTGTTTCTCCTGGGCTTTATTCCAGCCAAGGCAGACTCTGTGGTGGTTTTGCTGTGCAGGTGAGAGAATGCCTTTATTGGCACACCTCTTATCAAGTCCATTGTGTCATCTTAATTCTAGTGGGCAATTCCTGCTTTCATTTTGTACCTAAATGTATTTTATATTCTAATTTGCTACTCTTTGGTTGACTGTACAGACTTAAGGAGTCGTACACAAGTAGATAATGTAATAAAAACATGTTTTGTTATGCTGTGCAGATGTCTTAGTAGTACAAAAAGGATCTCTTACAAATGAAGCTGTTCTTGATGGAATAAATGCATTCCCCCAAAGGTAATTGATAGTAGGTGTTGAAATGCGAATAGAAGAACTAATAATTGAGTTGGCACAGCAGGCTACAGTGTAGGTTTTTCCCCCTATTCATACCTGAGGTGTTTGTGGTGTTGAAAAACGTGGTAAACATGATCCTACGTACTTCACACATTAAGCTTGTTCCTAGAGTTGTCTAATTTAATAATTGTTTTTCAAAATCTTGGTCGTGCAGGCAACCATGTGCCAGTCAGAGCAGTTTAAAGGATATTAACTGGGACAGTTCCCAGTGGCAGCCTCTCATCCAGGACCGCTGTTTCCTTTCGTGGCTGGTAAAGATTCCATCTGAACAGGAACAGCTGAGAGCACGTCAGATTACAGCTCAGCAGATTAACAAACTGGAAGAACTTTGGAAGGTATCAGCTTCTCTTTACATATCTGCGGCATTTAACCAAGTGCTAATTTTGTGGGTTTTGTGAAGGAGGGGACAAGATTGTTTTAGCAACTGTGAATTTAGCAGAGAATTCAAGGGATCACTTATCTAATCAGGAAAGCTGCATCCCTAGGTTTTTCAGCTCAGTTGGAACTGCACTATTTGCAGAAAAACAACAGTTTGCAGAAACAACTTTCCTTCTCCATATTAATAGTCCTTCAGTCTGTAGTTCTTGAAAGGATGGCTGAGTGACTAAGGAACTGCACGTCCACACTTGGTTTTCAGTTAATACTTTTAAAGAACTTTTCCTCTACATCTTTCAGTGTAGAACAAATCCAACTGGATGTTTGTTTTAACGGGTTAGGATTATGCCTTGTATAACCTTGTGGCAGCAGTGATATGTAAACTTGAAAACTGGCAGTGTCTAGCTTAAAAAGACAAAAACAAATCTTGAGTCTGAAATAATTGAGGAACAACACTTTTACTTTTGTATTTTTTGTGAAAATAAGTCTATCGAATATACAGTGGTTTTTCATGGGGTTTATTATTCCTTGTGCAGTGAAGGCTTTTGTTGGTTTCTGTTCTTACAAATATAAAACACTAATGCTTTAAATTCTAGGAAAATCCGTCTGCAACCCTGGAGGATTTAGAAAAGCCAGGTGTTGATGAAGAGCCGCAGCATGTTCTTCTCAGATACGAAGATGCTTATCAGTACCAAAATATATTCGGGCCTCTAGTCAAGCTTGAGGCGGACTATGACAAGAAACTCAAGGAGTCTCAGGTAGTGTCCTTGAAATATGTTTGAAGAGATTTCTGCTCAAATCCTTAAGGGCTCGAAGCTCAAGAATAATGCACATATTTAACTGTCGTGTGGCAGTCGTGGGAGTTTTGTGGTTCTCCACTGCTGGATATTTTTTTTTGTGAGGGAGAGGAGGAGGTTAAAAAAAGCTGTTGAGAACTATGGTAGTTAGCAGTTCTTTAAGAACTAATAGATGTCTGTCTTTGCCATTAGACTCAAGATAACATCACAGTCAGATGGGACTTGGGCTTGAACAAGAAAAGAATTGCTTATTTCACTTTGCCGAAGACTGATTCAGGTAATTTCCTTAGCTCTAGGTTTTGTGTGTTTTTCATTTGATGAAAACACTCAGTGTTTAAAGAACTGTGGTGATCTGGCCTGGGGTGTAAAATAGTTCTGCCGAAATGGAATCTCACTGTTGGATTTTCTGAGAATTTTTCTCTTCCTTTGTAGATATGCGTCTTATGCAAGGAGATGAGATCTGCTTGAGGTATAAGGGAGACCTGGCTCCTTTGTGGAAGGGAATTGGTCATGTTATCAAAGTTCCTGATAGTATCCTTTACTTAAGCTTTTAAGAAGGAAGTTTAATAGATCACAGGGAGTGACATTGTGAATTAAGTAGTTTCATCAGTTTGAATATCAGCTGCACACAAGCAATACTTCAGAAGAAACAGATTTCTCCTAGTTCTGCTTATTACTACTTCCAGTACTGTAAGCAAAATACACATGACTGGAAAATCCCCTTCTTAAAAGTTTCTCATCTGTAAAATGTGTGAAACAAACTTAAACATTCACCATGGAAAGTTATTAAAAGTTACAAAGCACATCTGTACTCCTGACAGTGGGAGTGCTAAACCCTTATTTTGAAACCATTTAAATTTGTGCCAAACAGGGAGCTGCTAAATAAATCAAAATAGGGAAAAATAAAATTCAGATGTTTGCTCTAGATTACTACTTAACGAGGTTCTACAGATTATGGTGACGAGATAGCCATCGAGCTAAGAAGCAGCGTTGGAGCACCTGTGGAAGTTACTCATAACTTCCAAGTCGATTTTGTGTGGAAGTCTACTTCATTTGACAGGTACTTGGAATACATCTTCCTTCCCTATGGTGCTAACTTAAAGAATGCTATGAGTTTTTTTTGTTTTGTTTTTTAAGCTTGATGTGCATAATGCAGAGTGCTTTAAAAACATTTGCTGTGGATGAGACTTCAGTGTCTGGGTACATCTATCACAAGCTGTTAGGCCATGAGGTAGAAGATGTAATTATTAAATGCCAATTGCCAAAGCGCTTTACAGCACAAGGACTTCCTGATCTCAACCATTCTCAGGTAATCCCATTCCACTTCCACAACAGACAAAGAATGTGATAAAGTACTTATGAGTAGAGCTTGAGCAACTTTGTAACTGCCTACACATGAAATAGGAAACTTTTGTTTTTGAATCAGGTTTATGCTGTGAAGACTGTCCTGCAGAGGCCTCTGAGTCTCATTCAGGGTCCCCCTGGTACAGGAAAAACAGTGACATCGGCCACAATTGTCTATCATCTGGCTAGACAGGGCAATGGGTAAGAACTCCTTTCTAATTGTTTTATATATTAAAGTTACTTTATTCTTAGTCAGATAGTCAACTTATGCTTGAACATTGAAGTAAGTTGACACTTCAAACATTTGGAAAACCTTTTCAGTATACTCTTCAGGAAAGACTTGTGCTTGTTTTGGAAAGCGTTCTATAGTAACTTATTTTTGGGGACAGTCACCTATTTTTTTTGTGCTTACCAACACAGTTCTGCTGTCGTTGCAATCCTTTCGGGGGGGAAAAAAAGGCTGTAACTCACTGAGACTTATCTGTCACTTTTTCTTTAATCTTTAAGGCCTGTGTTGGTCTGTGCTCCGAGTAACATAGCTGTAGATCAGTTGACTGAGAAGATTCACCAAACTGGACTGAAAGTGGTTCGTCTGTGTGCTAAAAGTCGTGAGGCAATTGACTCTCCTGTGTCCTTCTTGGCATTACACAACCAAATCAGAAACATGGATAGGTATGAAAATGTTGGAAGTGGAGAGGGAGGGGGAACAAAATAGACTTGGGATTTCTTTTCTTTACTCCCGTGTGTGTGTGTGTGTCACTTTCAGCTTCGCAGATAAGCTCTTAGTTTCTGTGGTGATGTGTAAAGATTTCCCATGTGAACTGGCATTCCGAAGACGTGACACAATAAAAAGCCTGATAACTTTTTACAATATAGAACTTCAGATTTTTAACAGGGTTGTAAAGCAAATTCCCTTGGTTTTGCAGTATGCCAGAGCTTCAGAAACTGCAGCAGCTTAAAGATGAAACTGGAGAACTGTCATCTGCTGATGAGAAACGTTACCGGGCACTGAAACGAACGGCAGAGCGTGAATTACTTATGGTAGGGTTCTCGTGGTTCTGGTATTGTACGCACTCACATCTTGTCACCTGAGGCTTAGTTACCATTTACTGGTGAAGTTCAGAGTACACTTTAACTTTGGAGGGGATTTCTGAAGTGGTATCAGATACTTCTCCGTGCAGATGTATTATATCTGCTGTATTTCTGTCTCAGAATGCAGACGTGATCTGTTGCACGTGTGTGGGAGCTGGCGATCCAAGACTTGCAAAAATGCAGTTCCGCTCCATTTTGATTGACGAAAGCACCCAGGCCACTGAGCCGGAGTGCATGGTGCCCGTGGTCCTGGGAGCAAAACAGGTAGGAGCCGTTGCGTTTCATTAAAGTCGAGCAGTGTTTTTCACGATATAGATGTGTAGGAATACAGAAACCTTTTCTTTCTGGAAGGCTTTCTCATAACACAGCTCTTCTGTTTCTTTGGTATAATCTTGTTAGTCCCTCTAAAACAGGAGACTGAATAATTTTTTTTTTTAAAAAACTAGCAATACAAGTGGACAGTTCACTTAAGATTGATAAGCCTTAGGTTAGATCTGAGGTTTATTACAAGATAAATCAATTGCAAATCTATTTTATATTAAGATACTGCTATAATTTCCAGTTATTGGGCAGATTTTAGAATACCTGCGCTTAGGTATTGACATCGTCATAGACAACGAATCTTCCTTTTTTCGCAGCTGATTCTCGTGGGTGACCACTGCCAGCTGGGGCCCGTGGTGATGTGCAAGAAGGCAGCCAAGGCCGGGCTGTCGCAGTCCCTCTTCGAGAGGCTCGTGGTGCTGGGGATCCGGCCCATCCGCCTGCAGGTGCAGTACCGCATGCATCCCGCGCTCAGCGCCTTCCCATCCAATATCTTCTATGAGGGTTCACTCCAGAACGGCGTTACTGCAGGTAAACCTACAAGTTGCCTTCTCTGCTATTTAAGGGTTGTAGGGAGAATATCTTTAAATGCATTCGCTTAAAGAAAACTCCTGCTGTGCCTATTTACTGTGCACACTTCACTTTTTTCCTTACTGTTTGTTTTGTGTGTTCTTCAGCTGACCGTGTGAAAAAGGGATTTGACTTCCAGTGGCCGCAGCCAGATAAACCAATGTTTTTCTATGTTACACAAGGACAAGAGGAAATTGCCAGTTCAGGCACCTCTTATTTAAACAGGTAAACAAAATTCAGCACTGACATAGAGCCTTATTTAGCAATTCCTCATTCTGATGCATCTCAAATGTAAGGAAGATTCCTGTATGAATCTATTAATGATTCTGGAACCTCCCTAGGAGAGAAAGTCAGAATCAAGAGAGTGGAAGGGGAGTGGAATATAGCAGTTCTGCTGCATACCAAATATCTAAGTATTTCTCTACACCACAGAATTAATTTTATTAGGGCCAGTAACTTGCCAGAACTGTGTTAGGTCTGATGCATTCATTCTCCTTAGATAAACAAATCTCTTCTCGTAGGACTGAAGCAGCCAATGTGGAGAAGATAACGACAAAGTTATTGAAGGCTGGTGCCAAACCAGATCAGATTGGCATTATTACTCCCTATGAAGGTCAACGATCTTACCTGGTGCAGTACATGCAATTCAGCGGTTCCTTGCATACAAAACTTTACCAGGTATGGAGCAGCTGCACAGGCTTAAGAGAACACTCGAATACAAAGAAGCCAGAAATTTCAGATACTGTGAGACTTCATAGTGTGCTCGTTTGAGTCTGGCAGTGCGTGTGTTTATGCTTCTCTGCAAACTTCTGTGGGTTTTAGCCGATTTCAGTTAAAAGTGACCAAGGGAGAGAGCTTCAGACAGTTTTATATTTAATATAGTCTCTTTTGCAGTATTGAAAACTTGGTGTTTTTACTGAAGAAAACCTTGGAAATAACTTGCTTCTGCCAAGAATGATCTGTCCTTCTGATTCAGGTTTCTCAGCTGGGAGCAGCAGTGCTCATTTGGAGCTGCCTTACTACAAGGCTTTGGAAGAGTCAGGGATCATTTTGGCAACATACCCAGAAAAAGGATGCTTTCTGTGGTGCAAATGTTAGCCTGGGGGAAATGTGAGAATCATAAAGCAGCAAATATAAAAGTAATTTGTCCGAAACTGAGACTCCCTGTTCTCCCTTAGGGGAAGCTAGTGACTAGTGGAATTATCAAATCGTTCAACATGATTAAAAAATAACATTTTTGTTAAATGATGGATTCTATTACTGTGCAGCCAAAGTGTTTTGTAATATTTGTTAGTAGCACAACTGTTTTGCACCGTGCTTCCGTGGTGTACATGTTTTTCCTTCATTTCAGGAAGTGGAAATTGCGAGCGTGGATGCCTTCCAGGGCCGAGAGAAGGACTTTATTATCCTTTCTTGTGTAAGGGCCAACGAACACCAAGGAATAGGATTTCTGAATGACCCTAGGCGTCTTAATGTGGCTCTTACAAGAGCAAGGTAGAGTAAAATTAAGAGTATTTCATATATATTTTGGACAGCCAAGCTGATAAAGTGTTAATGCTGTCTGGCTAATGAGAGATCTCTTTTTTCTGCATTTTTTGTTTTGTTTTTCCCCCCTGCTTAAGGGGCCCTTCAATGATTTCCGCATGTCCTTCAGTGTACGAGAGCAATCTAAGATTTATCAGTGTTAATTTGGTGTCAGCAGCCTGTGGAAGCAGGCATGTCCTTTTCCATGTTTGCAGGATGGATGAACTCCTGTTTCCACTGTTCTTCTAGCCCTTCCTTCTTTACCAATGCTGCTTTTAAACAGATTTAATCATGCTGAGATCACAGAAAGTGGTAGTATGAAGCCAATACTGTGTTGGATTTCTGTGGCTCCTGCAAGCTTTTGTCACTGGAGTGGTGGGTTGAGTTCACTGCCAGACAGGAGTGGCAGAAGAAAGTGTGTGACTCCTGAGGAGCTGCAGCACTCTCCTCCTTTTGAGTATCTTGTTATACTGCAAAAATATTTTCTTGTAAACATAACCTTTGCCTCAGGGTCTCCCACACTGACCTCATGCACTTCTTAAAGTACCTTGATTTACTGCAGAACAGTCTGCTGAATCAAGCTGTTCTGACACTAATATACAGTACTACTTATTTTTAGTCAAAATTGACTTTAGTTTCTCTGTCTATTTGCTGTTCCACAGGTATGGAGTAATCATTGTTGGGAACCCAAAAGCGCTGTCTAAACAACCACT